GTTGCCGCCCCTACGCGGCCCCGTTGCCGCCCCCTAGCGGCCCTGTCGCCGCCCCTAGCGGCCTCGTTGCCGCCCTCCCTCCCTACGCGGCCCGTTGCCGCCCCTACGCGGCCCCGTCGCCGCCCCTAGCGGCCCCGTCGCCGCCCCTACGCGGCCCCGTCACCGCCCCTAGCGGCCCCGTCGGCCCCATCGCCGCCCCTACGCGGCCCCGTCGCCGCCCCTAGCGGCCCCGTAGCCACTCCCCTCCGTACGCGGCCCCGTAGCCGCCCCTACGCGGCCCCGTTGCCGCCCCTAGCGGCCCCGTCGCCGCTGACCTCCCTACGGGCCGTTGCCGCCCCTACGCGGCCCCGTCGCTGCCCCTACGCGGCCCCGTCGCCGTCCCTAGCGGCCCCGTAGCCGCTCCCCTCCCTACGCGGCCCTGTCGCCGCCCCTACGTCGCCCCGTCGCCGCCCTACGCGGCCGCGTCGCCGCCCCTAGCGGCCCCGTCGCCTCTGACCTCCCTATGCGGCCCCGTTGCCGCCCCTACGCGGCCCCGTCGCCGCCTCTACGCGGCCCCGTCGCCGCCCCTCTACCGGCCCCGTCGCCGCTCCCCTCCCTACGCGGCCCCGTCGCCCCCCTACGCGGCCTCGTCGCCGCCCCTAGCGGCCCCGTCGCCGCTCCCCTCCCTACACGGCCCCATCGCTGCCCCTAGCGGCCCCGTTGCCGCCCCTAGCGGGCAGCCGTGCCGCCGAGCCACCCAGCACCTGAGCCGCCGAGTCGCCCAGCAGCCGAGCCGCCCCTGGAGCAGCCACCACTGCAGCAGCCGCCCCTGGAGCAGCCGCCACTAAAGCAGCCGCCCCTGGAGCAGCCGCCGCTGCAGCAGCCGCCCCTGAAGCAGCCGCCATTGCAGCAGCCGCCCGTGGAGGAGCCGCCACTGCAAGCAGCCGCCCTTGGAGCAGCCGCCACTGCAGCGGCCGCCCCTGGAGCAGCCGCCGCTGCAGCAGACGCCCCTGGAGCAGCCGCCACTGCAGCAGCCGCCCTTGGAGCAGCTGCCACTGCAGCAGCCGCCCCTTGAGCAGCCGCCACTGCAGCAGCCGCCCCTGGAGCAGCCGCCACTGCAGCAGCCGCCCCTGGAGCAGCCGCCACTGCAGCAGCCGCCCTTGGAGCAGCCACTGCCACTGCAGCAGCCGCCCCTGGAGCAGCCGCCACTACAGCAGCCGCCCCTGGAGCAGCCGCCACTGCAGCAGCCGCCCCTGGAGCAGCCACCACTGCAGCAGCCGCCCCTTGAGTAGCCGCCACTGCAGCAGCCGCCCCTAGAGCAGCCGCCATTGCAGCAGCCGCCCCTGGAGCAGCCACCCCTGCAGCTGCCGCGGAGCTCTCGCTCTACAGTGGTAGCAGCATCGCCGTTGCCGCCGTCGTACGCCTGCCCTTCTCGCCACTGGTGAGTGCTGCCCTGCCCGTACTGCTGCTACTGCTGCTCTTACTACTGCTGCTCTTTCTACTGCTAGTAGTGCTCCTAGCGTGGCCAAATGCAACTCTAGCGTCGCACGCGTGAGTCCTTCACCCCGCAACAGCTTCATGAGTAGTACACTAGTTGGGGGTGTCGGGGGTGGCCGTAGTGGGAGTCGTCCTGGAGTGAGTAGTTCCGCAGCTGCTTGTAGTGGCAGGATGCAGCTCCAGCGTCGCCCGCGTGAGTCCCTCACCCCTTAACAGCTTCGTGAGTGGCACACCAGTTGGGGGTTGTGGGTGGTGTAGTAGTAGGAGTCGTCCTGGAGTGGGTAGTTCGGGAGTTTCTTGTAGTGGCCCGGTGCAGCAGCAACGTTGTCCGCGCGAGACTCTTTCACCCCAGCAGCTTCGTGAGTGGTACGTTCAGAGTGGAGGGTCGTTGAGTACTGCTTGCTGCCCGTACGTTATTAGCACGGGTGTCCGGACTGGTCAGACTTGCGGGACGCGTGGTCACACAAAGTCCCGCTGCTTCGCCCGTCAGAGCGACACTTGGCGTACAGGGTTTGGAGACGACGCTGAGCTCCCCGACTGGGTGGAGCTTCTTAGGCAGAGGGTAGATATCTTTGCTCTTGACTATGATGCTATTTTCACTACAATATATGCATTGTCTACTAGTGCCGAGGGAGTCTGTCACCTGTGTGTGCCGCCTGACCCCGGTATCCAGTCTGTTGCTCTAGGTGCTGGTGAGGCTGCTGCTCTTGGTGCTAGTGCGTCTGCTGCCCCAGGTGCAGGTGAGTCTGCTCTCTCACGTACCACGTCGGCTCAGGCCTTACACACCTTCACCCTTGACTCGGGTGCTTCCCGCTCCTTCTTTCGAGACCGCACCACGCTTACGCCGCTTAGTCGGCCGGTTGCGGTCTCCCTGGCGGACCCCTCTGGGGGTCGTGTCCTTGCTAGTTTCTCCACTGTCTTACCGTGCCCGGCAACCCCTGTGGCACCCTGTCAGATCTCTTCCTCCCCTTATTCTCTACAAACTTGGTTAGTGGAGCTGATCTACAGCATAGGGGGGTTGACCACTTCACTCCTGCGAGTCAGCGGGTGACCCACTGCACGTGTGCTCAGACAGGCCGACACTTGGCCACGTTCACCCGTCGGCCGGGGTCGAGCCTGTACACTCTTACTACTGAGTCTCCTTCGACTGCTGAGTCTGGTCAGTAGCTGCAACGAGTCAGGTGTTTGCTGCAGCGTCCAGGTCTAGTCCTGAGTCTGCTCCCTGCTCGTGTCGTCTCCAGTCCAACCAGACTCTCCTTTGGCACCACCGCCTTGGTCACCCCTCACTGCCTTGTCTCCGAGGCATGGCCTCCCGTGTCCTTATCTCTGGTCTTCCCCGGTCTCTCCCTCCTCTACCTCTAGAGCCTGCCCCTACTTGTGTCCCCTGCGTAGAGGGGTGACAGCGCGCCGCCCCTCACTCCTCCAAGTTTCCTCCGACAAAGGCTCCGTTGCAAACTCTTCACATCCACACGTGGGGCCCCGCCCACGTGCGTGGACAGGGGCACGAGTGTTACTTCCTGTTGGTGGTTGACGACTACTCGCGTTACACCACGGTTTTCCTTGCGCAGCAAGGGCGACGTCACTGAGGTGTTGATCGACTCGATCCGCGCAGCTCGTCTCCAGCTCAGAGAGAGTTTCGGCTCCAACTTTCCTGTTCTGCGTCTGCACTCTGACAGAGGCGGGGAGTCTTTCTGTGCCAGTCAGGGAGCCTTCTGTCGTGCACAGAGCATCCGCCAGACCTTCACGCTTTCGGCCTCTCCACAGAAACATGGGATTGCTGAGCGCCGCATTGGCATGGTCATCGACGTCGCTCGTACGTCCATGATCCATGCGGCTGCCCCCCATTTTCTGTGGCCGTTTGCGGTTCAGTACGCGGCGCATAAGCTCAACCTTCAGCCCCGGGTCTCCTTGCCAGAGACCTCCCCACCTTGCGTGGACGGCGAAGGTTGGCGATGCGTCTGCGTTTCGGGACTGGGGATCTCGGGCGTTTGTCCGCGACTTGTGTGCGGACAAGCAGTCCCCCCGTGTTGTTCCCTGCGTCTTCCTTGGCTTCCCCTTTGACGCGCCTGGTTGGTAGTTTACTACGACCCCACCTCGCGCCGTGTTCTGTCCTCCCAGGACGTCACCTTTGACGAGTCGGTGCCTTACTACCGTCTCTTCCCCTACCGCGCTGCACCCCTTCCCCGGCCGCCACTCTTTCTTGCACCAGGTCCTCGCCCGGTAGACTCTCTCCCCCCCCAGGGTCCTGCCCCGTCAGGTGTGTCCCAGGTAGACGCAGTCGAGCCTGTCGAGGTAGCTGTTGACTCTGCTGCTGCTAGAGGTCCTGAGCCTGCGGGTGCCGGGTCTAGGGGTGCTGAGCCTGGGGGTGCTGAGACTAGGGTGTTGAGTCTGGGGGTGCTGAGTCTGGCGATGCTGAGCGTGGGGGTGCGGAGCCTGGGGGTTCGGAGCCAGCGGGGCGCTGGGTCTGCTCGTGTGGCCGCCGGCGGGGTGCTTCGTCGAGGCGGGAGCCACTCTCTCCACAGGAGCTGCGCGAGTGGTTTGCCCGGCGCTGGAGCCCTGCTGCTGTAGCTGGAGGTACTACTGTTCCTGCTAGTCCCGGAGGTGCTCGTACTAACGGTGCTGGAGCAACTGGGCCTGGGGTGCTGCTGGGGCTTCTGGAGTTGGTCCTGCTGGAGCTGCTGGCGGTACTGGAGCTGCCGGTCCTGCTGGAGTTGGTGCTGCTGGAGCAGGAGCTACTGGGGGTGTTGGCGCTGGTGGTTCTGCTGGCGCTGGTGCGTCTGAGGGTGCTGGAGTTGGCGCTGTTGGAGCTGGAGGTACTGCTGGCGCGGGTGCTGTCGCTGGGGGTCCTTGTGCTGTCCCTGCTGGTTGTGGAGGCGCTGAGCGGCCGCGCCCGTACTTCGTTCCGCTCCTTGGCAGGTTCTTGGTCTCCGCCTTCTACTGGTCCTGCTCCTCCCTTAGAGTGTCCACAGCCCTGTCTAGTCGCAGTCACAGTTACAGCCCGCCTCCCCTCTACCTGCTCCTTCTCCTCCTTCTTTGCTCACTGTCGTCTAGACTACGCACTAGTCTTGTTGCTGAGTCCGAGTCTGTCTGTCATCCCGTTCCGTCCGGGGTGGGTGTGCTCTTAGTACGGACGTCCTTGAGGACAGGCAGGAGGATTTCTAGTGTTTTGCTACTGCTTTGCCCTCATCTCGTGTCCTCGCTGATTGCCCTTCAGGAAGACCCGGATGCACCAGACATCCCGACTCCTCGATCGTACACTGAGGTGATCGAGGGTCCCTACTCCTCTCAGTGGCAGTCAGCCATGGACGCAGAGATGGCTTCTTGGAAGTCCACAGCACCTACATTGACGAGGTTCCCCCATTTGGGGCGAACATCGTCAGTGGCATGTGGATTTTCAGGGTGAAGCGGCCGCCAGGTTCTCCGCCTGTCTTCAAGAACGCGTTACGTGGCTCGAGGCTTCAGTGAGCGGCAGGGAGTTGAGTAATTTCAGACCTTCTCTCCCACCCCGAAGATGGACCACTCTTAGGGTGCTGCTGCACATAGCCGCTCAGCGCGATACGAGCTTCACTCTCTTCACTTTCAGCACTGCTTACCTACAGGGCAGCCTGCACAAGGAGATCATGTTGCGCCGCCCCTCTTGGCTTCTTTGGTCGTTTCCTCCTAGTACCCAGTGGAGTCTCCGACGGCCACTCTACGGTCTCCGCTAGGCGCCCCGTGAGTGACACGACACACTGAGGACTACACTTGCGGCTCTTGGGTTTGCTCCTTCTACTACTGACCCTTCGCTGTTTCTACGCACCGACACATCTTTGCTACCGTTCTACATCCTCGTGTACGTCGACGACTTGGTCTTTGCTACTGCTGACACTGCTTGACTCGCCCATGTGAAGTTCGAGTTGTAGAAGAGACACACGTGCACAGACCTGGGTGAACTGCGCAGCTACCTTGGCTTGCAGATCACCCGGGACAGAGCACAGCGCACCACTACCCTAACTCATGCACATATGGTGCCGCAAGTCCTTCATCGCTTCGACTTCACTTACTCTCGCCTCAGGCCACTCCTCTGTCTTCTCGTCACTCGCTCTCAGCTCTGCCTTCGGATGAGTCCGTAGAGCCGAGTGGCCCATTACCCAGACCTTGTTGGCTGCCTCATGTACCTGATGACCTGCAACACGACCTGACTTTGCATACCCTCTTAGCATCTTGGCACGCTATGTTGCTCCTAGGATACACCGACTAGAGCACATGGCTGCAGCGAAGAGGGTGTTGCGCTACTTGTGCAGTACGTCGGGCATGGGGCTAGTGCTTGGAGGGCGACGTCGAATGGTCCTCACAGATTACGCAGACGCTTCTTGGGCTGACGACTAGGCTACGCAGCGGTCGTCACAGGGTTACACCTTCAGTCTTGGTTCCGGCTCTGTTTCGTGGCGGTCTACTCGCTCTTCTTCTGTTCTCGGCTCCAGCTGTGAGGCTGAGATCTACACGGGGGCCATGGCTGCAAAGGAGCTACGCTGGCTCACCTACCTGCTATCTGACCTAGGAGAGACGCCTCGCTCTTCTCCAGTTCTGTACGTAGACAACAAGGCCATGCTGGCCTTTTGTCGGGAGCACAGACTGGAGCACAGAACGAAGCACATTGCTCTTCGCTACTTCCTTGCTCGTGAGCTGCAGCAGGGTGGTCAGCTGCGCCTTGCTTACGTGGCCTCTGAGGCCAACACTGCTGATATCTTTACCAAGGCACTTCCGCCTGGTGATCATCAGCGTTTCTGTAAGATGCTAAGTCTTGTGCCTACCTGGCCTCACTTGCTCACTTCTTGACCTTGCTTGTACTGTGATCTTTCTATACCTGCACTTGCTTGTTTATCTTTATATATGATCTTGCATGTGAACTGGCCTTTTAGCCTTGCTCTTGTGTTCGGATTGTATGGTGACGTTGTGATCCACCCTGAGCTTGCTTTGCTTTGTTTGACTGGTCTTGTGACCTCTTGTTCTCCTCCACTTTGCCTATGGGGGTGTGTCAAAGTCATATGCTATAGTCTGTATAGGCTGTAGTGGGTAGACAATATGGGGTACAACACTTCTAGGTTTTCCTACTTGTACTCACCAGCTTGCTATTTCATTCATTCTTGATTTCTTCACAGCAATTTGTCAGGGAAGACGTCTCTGAACTTTGCTAACAGTGCACTCACCTTAGCAGGAAGAGTCGCCTTCTTACCAACTGCTGCACTCCCTCTTTTCCCCTCCTTAGGTTCCACCTCCTTAAGGAAAACCGCAAAGATCCGTGCCGCACGCTTCACCAGTTGCCGCGCATGAACAGCATTGATGATAGCTGTGGATGATGTCGCCCCATCACTCCACTGTGGTAGCTCCCGGAACTCCCCGTCTACCTTGACACTTGCAGCTTCCCTAAGCCCAATTGAACTGAGTACTAACCGTCTGTAGCCAATCCCTGTCGAAGATGAAGTCATAACCGTCTAGCGTCGTAGAGTCGGAGTCACGCCTTACCGTTATTGGTCCTAGCATTGCGCGCAACTTGCGGATGACTGGTCTTATGTGGAAAGGCGTCCCATTTACCATGCGTGCATCTTGAAGTTGACTGCGGAATCTGCTACGGGATGGAGGCGGCTGACTAACGATGAAGACATGAACGACTAGCTCCGGTATTTACGAGTATCTTTAATAGGAACTCCGCGAAGCTTCTTTAGAAGCACGACTGGTCGGTCAAACATTGTCTCCGTAGAGGACTGCTGCAAAGCAGTCTCCTCTACGTTGGTAGATGTGGCGGGTACGGGAACCTCCACACCAGCTAGCGACCCGCTATCTACTCGCGAATTCCGTTTCTCTGCTGCTGCTTCTTGGACTCTAGGCAGTCCCGCTTCATGTGTCCCGGCTTTTTGCAGTAGTGACAGTTCCCCCTAAAACCCGTTTGTTGCGGGCCGTCACTGTTAACTGCACCGATCTCCATGGGCGACGGTCCGTCCCTCGATCGAGCGTCGTTGATCACTCTGTTGTATCCCCTATCGCGATTATCACGACCTTGTCGACTTCGTGCTACGTCGACACGGTTCTGCTGCTGCGACAACTGACTCGAAGGTGGACAACCCATGAATCGCTATAACTTCCGCTATGTCCGGCTTCAACCTCTCGAGGTAGCAATCGCTCATCTCTGCTTCCTTGATATTGTCTATCTCGTTGCAGATGCTAAAAAACCGTCGTGTGTACACCTGGACGTTTCCTATCTTTCGGAAATGACGCAGACGCTTCCTAGCAGCTTCGAAGGCGTTAACCATGTCGAACCTACTTTTCAGCGCCGCTTCAAATCCTTCCCATGTGGTTGGAACCGTGGTAACACCCAAAGCTAAACTCCCTAAGCTCAAAGTTGCAGGTGCATCCCCCACGCCCTATGATGCCCGTCTGTCTCAGCCCTTCTTACAGCAGTTTGCGTGAGTTGGCGTCAGCACTCCACGGCCGGGGCCCCTAAGTAGTGTAACGGAGTACTCGATCCGCTGCTGCGCGTCCGCCTCTTGCACACCGCTCGTGGCGAAGTAGTTGTTGAGCATGATCCACGTCTGCACGATCGCGTCGCGTTGGCTTGGGTCGAACGGCTTGGGCTTCTGCGGCTTGAGCGCGCTTCGACGTTCCGGCAGCGCTTCCGCGCCAGTCGACGTGTTGGGTGCAGGAGATGGTGCGGCATGACCATGAGAAATTGACGCGAATTCACGAAGCTGTTGCATTTCAGCCCGTACCTGACGATTTTCCAACGTCAACTGTTCGAGTTGGCGCATGCGTTGAGCAAGCGTGTTGGCCATGTCGTTGGGGAGAGCGTTCATGGTCTCGTCCATGTTAGCTCGACGACTCCAGGTTTGCAAGTCGGCACCGTGGGACGATGACGTCGTAGTCTCGTCGTTGACGGTCGCTCGTTGGAAGTCGCTCCCCACGAAGGCTCCCGATACCAAGTGTTAGGCCCCTTGGCCTAAATCCGCTAAAGAATAGCGGGGTCGACTTAGTCGAGGATGAAAACGCGGCGGAAGACTTTGGCGAAAGAACTATTGGCGAAAGAGGCGAATAAGTTACTGAGTAATTGAAGTTTTGAATGAGAATTGATTGATATTGGTGGATACAAGCAAGGATGATATAGCATGAAAGTTCGAATGTCGGAAAGTACTTCGTAGGACTAGAAAGTAGAAGCAAGAAAAGTAGAGTGCCACGTGGCACTAGAAAATCCAAGAAGATAAAAGGATAAGGATGGGGTTGGGAGTTACTGTGCAAAGTGAACAGTAAAACCCCCTGTAACAGTTATGTTTTCCGCTAATTTCCGCAAACCAACGGCCTTAGTTGTGCGGCGCGAAGCTGCGAGTATAAGGGGCACGCCACTGTGGTTCTTCAGCACCCCCAAAGTGTCTTTTATTTTGTTCAAAGCTTGTGTCTTTCGTTGTTTCAGTGACCGTTTTCGTGATATTCCAAGTCCATGTGCTCTATCAGCTTAGGAACTAGAAAAACGTTTTATTGTGGCAGCGTTGTCGTTTCGACGTTTCAGTTATGGCCATGGCGGGGTTGCAACACCAGGGCGGCAGCATGAGCACGAGCAGCAGCGGCAGTGAGAGCAAGACGATGAAGGAGAGGCATGCGTCGGCGGCGCTCGAGGAGCTGCGCGCCATCGTGCAGGCGTGCGCGACGTGAGTGAAAATGCCAGTGTTGCCAAAAAAAAAAAAAAAAGCCGAGACTGTCGCACGTGCGACGTACGTACAATGAAACTGCCATGGGACGAGAAAATTATGGTCACATGTGGGACGTGAGAAAATTGAAGCGGTCGCATGCTCGACAGTACGACGAAATGGTTTCACGTGCGACGTGAGCACATTTCAAACGGTCGCAGTTGTGAAGGTGAGTATTTCATACGTGCAATGTGCATGTCATTTCGCATGCGTGCTACGACTCGGAGTGAGTACGTGAGCCGAGTGCGACACGCATGCGAAATTGGCGGCTGGCGAGACCAACTCTCCTCTTCGGAAGAGGAGGGGTAAGGATGCTCCGTGACCGTTCGATGGTGCAGGCGTGCGTCCGAGTTTGTGTGTCACTCACATACCACTAACTCCTCACCCACGTGTCACCCACGTGTCACCCGCGTGTCACCCGCGTGTCACCCCGTGCCAACAGCATGCTCAACAGGAAGCCGTCATCGCTGAAGCGCGCGTTCGAGCGGCGGCACCCGCAGCTGGCGGGGGAGGCGGACAGCGCGCTGTACGCCACCCACCTGCTGCTCTTCGCGCTCCACCGCGCCCTCCGCGCCTGCACCCTGCGCACCGCCCTCGCCGCTTCCAAGGTCCCCTTCCCTCCCCTCTGTCCCCTCTGCGCCATCGTCTCTCGCCCAACACCCCTTTTCCTTTGTCGCTTCGCTCCTATCTCGCGTCCGCCACACACTGAAGCCCTTCTTTCCCCTCCCCTCCCCTCTGTGCTCACCAGACCGTGCCACTGGACCAGCTGCTGTACCGCAGCATAACCACCTTCGCCACTCTGCACCGCATGCACCTCGAGGCCCAGCAGCAGCAGCAGCGCGCGCGACGGCAGGCGTTCAGCAAGGGCGCGGGGGCCAGCAGGGGAGCGCCGCCCAGGCCGCCGTCCATGGGGCACGAGCAGGTAGGTGCTGGCGGGCAGGGATGTGGGGGGCAGTAGTGGTGGGAAGCACGTGTGCGGCATGGGGTCAGGGCGCACGGAGCATGTGCCACCGGATTTTCTGCAAAGTAGCTTCACAGACCGCTGATGTGCCCCCTCCCCTTCATGACACCCGCCCTGCGTCCTCCTGCTCCCCGCTGCCCCAGCAGCAGGTGCAGGCGGTGGGCACGGAGGAGGAGAGGTTGGAGAAGGAGAGGGCTTTGCAGGCGGAGGCGATGGCGCTGGGGTTCACACGCGTGGCGCCGCTGCTGGGGGAGCTCGCCACGCCCGCCACGGCCGCCTGCCTGCACCACCACCTCGCCTTCACTCGCGCTGCCAACTCGCCCTCCGCCCAGCCGCCCCCCTCGGGCCTCTCTGCCGACCCGCATGCACCAGTTTGTGGCCGCCGTGGCACAGTGAGTGGGGCGCAGGGAGTGGGGCGCAGGGAGTGGGGCGCAGTGAGTGGGGCGCAGTGAGTGGGGCGCAGTGAGTGGGGCGCAGGGAGTGGGGCGCAGTGAGTGGGGCGCAGGGAGCGGGGCGCAGTGAGTGGGGCGCAGGGAGTGGGGCGCAGTGAGTGGGGCGCAGTGAGTGGGGCGCAGTGAGTGGGGCGCAGGGAGTGGGGCGCAGTGAGTGGGGCGCAGGGAGTGGGGCGCAGGGAGTGGGGCGCAGTGAGCGGGGCGCAGAGAGTGGGGCGCAGTGAGTGGGGCGCAGGGAGTGGGGCGCAGTGAGTGGGGCGCAGGGAGTGGGGCGCAGTGAGTGGGGCGCAGTGAGTGGGGCGCAGTGAGTGGGGCGCAGGGAGTGGGGCGCAGTGAGTGGGGCGCAGGGAGTGGGGCGCAGTGAGTGGGGCGCAGGGGAGTGGGGCGCAGTGAGTGGGGCGCAGGGAGTGGGGCACAGTGAGTGGGGCGCAGGGAGTGGGGCGCAGTGAGTGGGGCGCAGGGAGTGGGGCGCAGTGAGTGGGGCGCAGGGAGTGGGGCGCAGTGAGTGGGGCGCAGGGAGTGGGGCGCAGGGAGTGGGGCGCAGTGAGTGGGGCGCAGGGAGTGGGGCGCAGTGAGTGGGGCGCAGGGAGTGGGGCGCAGTGAGTGGGGCGCAGGGAGTGGGCGCAGTGAGTGGGGCGCAGTGAGTGGGGCGCAGGGAGTGGGGCGCAGTGAGTGGGGCGCAGGGAGTGGGGCGCAGTGAGTGGGGCGCAGGGAGTGGGGCGCAGTGAGTGGGGTGCAGGGAGTGGGGCGCAGTGAGTGGGGCGCAGGGAGTGGGGCGCAGTGAGTGGGGTGCAGGGAGTGGGGTGCAGTGGTGGGGCGCAGGGAGTGGGGCGCAGTGAGTGGGGCGCAGTGAGTGGGGCGCAGGGAGTGGGGCGCAGTGAGTGGGGCGCAGGGAGTGGGGCGCAGTGAGTGGGGCGCAGTTAGTGGGGCGCAGTGAGTGGGGCGCAGGGAGTGGGGCGCAGTGAGTGGGGCGCAGGGAGTGGGGCGCAGGGAGTGGAGCGCAGTGAGTGGGGCGCAGGGAGTGGGGCGCAGTGAGTGGGGCGCAGGGAGTGGGGCGCAGTGAGTGGGCGCAGGGAGTGGGGCGCAGTGAGTGGGGCGCAGTGAGTGGGGCGCAGGGAGTGGGGCGCAGTAAGTGGGGCGCAGGGAGTGGGGCGCAGTGAGTGGGGCGCAGTTAGTGGGGCGCAGTGAGTGGGGTGCAGGGAGTGGGGCGCAGTGAGTGGGGCGCAGGGAGTGAGGCGCAGGGAGTGGGCGCAGTGAGTGGGGCGCAGGGAGTGGGGCGCAGTGAGTGGGGCGCAGTGAGTGGGGCGCAGGGAGTGGGGTGTGGTATGGGTGAGCGTCCCATGCGATCCCAGACTTGCCATGCCATGCCACCCGTCCACATGACCCATACCATCCGAAGCCATGCCATGGCACACATGCCGCACCTTGCCATGCACGCCCCGTGTGTGTATGTGTGTGTGTGTGTGTGTGTGTGTGTGTGTGTGTGTGTGTGTGTGTGTGTGTGTGTGTGTGTGTGCAGTGAGCAGGAGGCGATGGGCAAGCGCACGGGGGTGATAGCAGCGGCGCTGGGGCTGCAGGAGAGGGAGGTGGTGGTGGCGGAGAGCGACGCCACGCTCTACATCGACGCCCCGGGGGCGCCCAAGACGCTTGTGGGCCATGGCCGCCTCTACCTCACCCCTCTCGCCCTTTACTTCCAGGTGCGCCCTCCTTCCCACACAACACCACCTCTCTTCTCCACCTGCTGCACCTGCCTTGCTCCCACACTCCCCACCTTACTCCCTTACCAAACCCCACAACTCATCTTCCCTTCCCCCCCCCCCCCAAACCCCGCTCCCCCTCTCTGCGCATCCAGGCGGACGCCACGGGCTTCCTGCGCACGGTGGCGGGGAGGGTGGAGCGCTTTGACCTGGCAGCTGTGGGGGCGGAGGCGGCGGTGGCAGAGGTGGCGCCGGACGCGCTGGCGCTCAACGTCTTCTCCATGACGCGCTCCCTTGCCCTCTCCTCCCGCCTGTGCGCTCCCTCGCCCTCTCCTCCTCCCTGTGCGCCCTGCTCGCTCGCTCTTTCTTCCCGCCTCTCTGCTCCCATTCTTCCCGTCGCACTCCCGCTTCTGCCCAACGCCCCATGCTCATCCCATGGCCCTCCCATCCCCCATGCACCACACTTCTCCTCATCAAGTCCCCCATGCTGCTCTCCTTGTCAAGGGACCTCCCTGCCACCTGCAATCCGTGTGCACGTGGTGCTGTGAGGGCGGAAGGCAGGTGGCGTGGCGTGGGCGGTGGAGTTCATGGAGTACAAGCTGCAGTCACACCGCATGTCCACTCCCATCCCATGCCCATCCCATGGCCATCCCATGCCCATGTGATAACCATTCCATGCCCCAATTTTCCTCATCGAGTCCTCTCTGCTGCTTCTTTTGTCTCGACAGCTCCCTCCCATGCCATGATCAAGCGTGTGCGCTGGTGTGCCGTGTGAAAAGAGTTGGAGAAGACGGAGCATCGATAGAAAGAAAGGCATACATAGGAGCCAAGAAAGGCTTGGGGATGATGATGTTGGGTGGGAGCAAGTGGTGGAAGAAGCCATTGGTCCCTAATCGTGGTTGGATTAACCAACCACAAGGAGGGGACCATGGGGGATGGGACCAACCACCCCACTTGGCTGTGAATTTGGGCTCCACCACAATTAAGTTGGATTGGCACCCAATCACAACGTGTGCACCTGCAAAGGGGTACTACAGTCTTAACTCGACTTAACACCACACTTGGTGTAGAGTCACAATCTTAGCATGCTATATTTCTAAAATTGTGGACGGGGGCAGGCAGGCGACATGGACGGTGGACTCCATAGAGTACAAGCTGCAGCGCCATCCCATGCCCATCCCATGCCCATCCCATGCCCATCCCATGTCCATCCCATGCCCATCCCATGCCCATCCCATGCCCATCCCATGCCCATCCCATGCCCATCCCATGCCCATCCCATGCCCATCCCATGCCCATCCCATGCCCATCCCATGTCCATCCCATGCCCATCCCATGCCCATCTCATGCCCATCCCATGCCCATCCCATGCCCATCCTATGCCCATCCCATGCCCATCCCATGACCATTCCATGCCCATCCCATGCCCATCCCATGCCCATCCCATGCCTATCCCAAGCCCATCCCATGCCCATCCCATGCCCATCCCATGCCCATCCCATGCCCATCCCATGCCCATCCCATGCCCATCCCATGTCCATCCCATGCCCATCCCATGCCCATCTCATGCCCATCCCATGCCCATCCCATGCCCATCCTATGCCCATCCCATGCCCATCCCATGACCATTCCATGCCCATCCCATGCCCATCCCATGCCCATCCCATGCCCATCCCATGCCCATCCCATGCTTATCCCATGCTCATCCCATGCCCATCCCATGCCCATCCCATGCCCATCCCATGCCCATCCCATGCCCATCCCATGCCATCCCATGCCCATCCCATGCTCATCCCATGCCCATCCCATGCCCATCCCATGCCCATCCCATGCCCATCCCATGCCTATCCCAAGCCCATCCCATGCCCATCCCATGTCCATTCCATGCCCATCCCATGCCCATCCCATGCCCATCCCATGCCCATCCCATGACCATCCCATGCCCATCCCATGCCTATCCCATGCCCATCCCATGCCCATCCCTTGCCCATCCCATGTCCATCCCATGTCCATCCCATGCCCATCCCATGCCCATCCCATGCCCATCCCATGCCCATCCCATGCCTATCCCATGCCCATCCCATGCCCATCCCTTGCCCATCCCATGCCCATCCCATGCCCATCTCATGCCCATCCCATGCCCATCCCATGCCCATCCCATGTCCATTCCATGCCCATCCCATGCCCATCCCATGCCCATCCCATGACCATCCCATGCCCATCCCATGTCCATCCCATGCCCATCCCATGCCCATCTCATGCCCATCCCATGCCCATCCCATGCCCATCCCATGCCCATCCCATGACCATCCCATGCCCATCCCATGCCTATCCCATGCCCATCCCATGCCCATCCCTTGCCCATCCCATGCCCATCCCATGCCCATCCCATGCCCATCTCATGCCCATCCCATGCCCATCCCATGTCCATCCCATGTCCATCCCATGCCCATCCCATGCCCATCCCATGTCCATCCCATGTCCATCCCATGCCCATCCCATGCCCATCCCTTGCCCATCCCATGCCCATCCCATGCCCATCCCATGCCCATCTCATGCCCATCCCATGCCCATCCCATGCCCATCCCATGTCCATTCCATGCCCATCCCATGCCCATCCCATGCCCATCCCATGCCCATCCCATGCCCATCCCATGTCCATCCCATGCCCATCCCATGCCCATCTCATGCCCATCCCATGCCCATCCCATGCCCATCCTATGCCCATCCCATGCCCATCCCATGACCATTCCATGCCCATCCCATGCCCATCCCATGCCCATCCCATGCCCATCCCATGCCCATCCCATGCTTATCCCATGCTCATCCCATGCCCATCCCATGCCCATCCCATGCCCATCCCATGCCCATCCCATGCCTATCCCATGCCCATCCCATGCCCATCCCATGCCCATCCCATGCCCATCTCATGCCCATCCTCGGCAGGCAGGCGACATGGACGGTGGAGTTCATAGAGTACAAGCTGCAGCGCCAGCGCGACCTCTGGCAGGCGCTGCTGGGGGAGGTGCTTTCCCTGCACGCCTTCCTCGCTGACTACCGCCCCGTGCCCAGTGAGGTGCTGCCAGCTGGCACGCAGGAGGAGGAGTATGCTGATGATGATGATGATGATCTGAGCGATGATGTCAGCGACGATGACGAGGGGCAAGTGGAGGAGGAGGAGGAAGAGGAGGAGGGGAGTGAGGAGGGGAAGGAGGAGGGGGAGAAGCCATCGCTGGAGGTGTTGCTGCTGGAGGAGGGCAGCCAGCAGGCCGTGTGGATGATGGTCAACGCCGTGCTGCAGCTGCAGGTGCGCCCACCCACACATGCACTCGCCCACACATGCACTCGCCCACACATGCACTCACCCACACATGCACTCACCCACACATGCACTCACCCACACATGCACTCACCCACACATGCACTCGCCCACACATGCACTCACCCACACATGCACTCACCCACACATGCACTCACCCACACATGCACTCACCCACACATGCACTCACCCACACATGCACTCACCCACACATGCACTCGCCCACACATGCACTCACCCACACATGCACTCACCCACACATGCATTCCGCATTGCCTCCCATGCACGTCCCCCCCTCCCATGCGCCCTGTGTTGGTGACGGTGAGGCATGCGCCACCTCCTTAGCAGCAAGCATGCGCCACCTCCTTAGCAGCAAGCTATGTTGCGCCTGACGCGTCAGGCGTTTTTGACGCTGGCGTCTGGACGGGGCGTCCAGACGCTTGACGCTCAGGGCCCTCTGCCCTGGACGCCCGCTTGACGCACGCTAGTCCGGGCAGGGCAAAAAAAATTTCCGGGCAGGGGTAAAAAAACCTGCCTAGTAAGGATACGCAAGGGTTTGAATGCAAGAAGTTCACATTTGTCACCTACAGTCATAAATACTCTATAAAATCCAGAAAATCCTGAAAATCTCCTAATCTCACACACAAGTTAAATACTCCTCTTCTCACATGCATAACCTAGGGAAGAGGGGGGATTGCCACATATTCATCAGCCAGCAGCTTGTCTTCTTCCTCCTCCTCCTCATCCACCTCCTCCTGCAGAATGTATCCCTCCGGGACCGGGGGGTCTGGCTTGTTACCCTCAATTATCCCGGCCCCCTCCATCTCAGGTCGCTTGTGTGCATTATGCACCACCAGCCAGTTGTGGGCCACGTACACCAAGTCGCGGCATTTCTCCGACCCTAGCCGGTTCCGGCGAGCCGTGTGCACTCCCTCCCACTTAGCCCAATTCCGCTTGCACGAGGAGGCCGACACGGGCTGCGCAAGGGTACGGCGCGCAATGTCAGCTAGCTCGGGGTAGTCGCATCCATGCCACTGCCACCAGCTTAGCAGATCCCCCTTCCCAGCCCGAATCTCCTCCCGAGCCTCCACCGCGCTCTTTGTGCCGAAACTCCCATCACCGTTAATGTAGGCAAGCATCCCCTTCTGAAGCTCTTTGAAGCCACCAGCTCCACCCCTCTTGTACTTCACCAAGAAATCATGCGCACGCTCTAAGAACTCCTTCATGACTTTGGTACACTCCCTATCCCGAAGAAAGATTCCCTCCTTCTGGTTGGCCGGATTAAAAATCCGGCCAGCCACATGGAGCGCACATGCAAGGCTATCATCCCATCTAGCCTTCAGAAAATCGCTGATCTTCTCCTTATCCTCGTCGCTCAGCTGCTCCTCATCCTCCTCCAGCAATGCACTCATTTCCTCCGTCAACTGTAGCATCAGGTCATACATATTTGCCATCATCCCCTTCTTTGTCGAGTCTGTCTTACGCATGGTGACATATGGCAGCTGCAGCAGCTTCTTGAAGAACTCTGCTGTCTTCCACCACGCAGAATCCAGCACGTACTTCTCAAACTTGTCTGCTGCCTCCTTCACCTTAGCACCTATGTTGGAAAAGTCGCCAGAAACCATAAGCGCACTCCGTATAGTCGTTTACGAATATACGGTGTACGCAAGTCGTACGTATATTCGTTGGCGAAAGTTCGGGCTGACCCGAAAAAAAACCAGATTTCAATAGTCGCGCACGAATTGCGAATGTGCGACGCGACTCAAAATGTACGCACGTCCCACCCCAATTTGTACGCACGTCCCAACCACATTGTCACCCACACCTGCCAAAATGTGGGGACGTGAGAAAATTTGAACCGCACTGCACCCTATGCTATCGCGCGACGCGACTCCAACACACAAACACGAATGTCGTCAACCAGCGTAGGTGGTTCAACCACATCCTGGACTATAAGGTAAGCTCTCATTCCCGTCATCTGTATTATCTCTCTCGTTCATTCTCTCTCAACACTCCCGCTCACCTGCACTTGATGTCGACTCCTTCTGGTACTCCCGCAAGTGCCACTAGTGAGGCTCCTAGTGTTTCGAATGACGCGACCATGGCGGACGACGAGGATGTTCCTGTGAACACCCATGTTATTTTTAAGCATTTCCTTACCTCTACCGAAGGTACCTCGAATGGTCCTGAGCGTACTCTCCGCATATGCCGGCACTGCAAGCTTAAGTT